TCAATTCTTGTGTTCATCCTTCGGGATAGATACAGGGTTTGAGGTAAAGCGCTCTTTCATTTAAACTATGAAAATTATGGGGTCAGTTTGACTTCATCTTTTTCAAAACTAAATTTTTTTTAAACGTCCTTCCGAAGCGGGCAATGGAATTTCAATTCCGATGGCCGACAGCTTCTTACGGGCAAACCCCACATCAAAAATAGTGCCGACATGAAGCAAATAGATATACCCACCCGCCAAAACAAATTAAGAAAGCTCTAAATACTTCAAGTTTATAAATAACATTACCCTAATAAAGACCAACTCAAGGATAATTCATCAAAAAAGAACTAAGGATTAAAAAAATTCCAAAAAACCAAACATAAACAGCTATTTAGTAAATTTTTCTTCTTAATTTTTAGGAAATAATTCAAATAAGTAAACTGAAGAATATAAGAACCCTATACCCGTAAAAAAAAAACAAAAAACAATGTTTTAAATTTACTTAGAAGTAGCAACTATTATAATGCTGATAAGATATTTCCAAGATTATCGATATATAAATACGACTTGCAGGGCTTTTCTTTGCTTCTGCGCAGCTTCGCCCCGGCTCATTTTTTTTTCCCTCGGCCCGACTTTCAAGACTTTTCTTTGTTGTTATGGAGTTTCCTCCTTCGGTTGAGCCCAGTAAAACATCTTTTTCCCACATTGTGGGTAATCCTCAGAGGGAAACGGCGGTTGTCTTCCCCTCAAGTTATAAGGAGAATCGTGATGGTACAGGTGACTGTCCCTTTATTAAGAATACAAGCAGGAATAGTGGGAAGACAGCACTATGTTTCTCTGAGTCAGAAATTTCAACCTTGACTGACAAATTCAAATTTGCTTTCATTGAGAAATTTCAGTGGAGACACCCAGCTATGAAAGTTACCAAGAAAAGTTTTGATGACCTCAAATTAGCAGGAAAGTAGAAAGCCGAAAGTGGGGCTCCTGGATGAGAGATATGTTTGGATTCAGTTAACCGTGTCAGAAGACTACACTCGTATTTTCACCAAAAAATATATTAACATTGTTGATAAACCAATGAAGCTACTCAAGTGGTCTCCTGATTTTGACCCCAATCATGAACCTCCTACTGTACCGGTATGGTTTAGTTTACCTGGTCTTAAGCTGCATTTTTTTCATCATCAAGTTCTCTACTCTATTGGTGTCATACTTTGGGACCTTATGAAGTTAGATCTACCCACTTTCAACCTTACCAGAACTTTTGTGGCCAGAATACTTATGAGAAGAGATATTACTTTGTCTGATGTTACTGAAGTTTGGTTGGGTACAATGCATAATGGATATTGGCAACAAATCATCATGGAGCATAGACCTTATTGTTCTCATTGTAAGATGTTTGGGCATACTCTTCATAAATTTCATAAGCTTCACCCTAATTTGAAATCTAAAGATCAAGTGAATAAGGATGGTTCTAAGGATATATCTGCACCACCTGGAGAGAAAGCTACCATAGAACAGATTTTGGTGTCTGATTTTATTGCTCATGTCGTTACTGTTACTGTGAGTGATGTGATGCTAACACCTACAAATGATAGTGTTCAGACTGATAATCAAGAGAGCCTAGTAGCTCCACTTCTTCAGGAAGTATCCGGTATAGAGGCAACTCATACTTCACATATACTAGAACCTATTGTGGGTACTATGGTTGGTATTCCTTCTACTTCAGCTCTACCACCCCAGCACACTGATTCTTCGGATGAGAAATGGCAAGTCTATTCCAGGAGGAAGAAGAAGAATGAAGACAGACTCTAACTCAAGAACATATTGGATGATACATTGGTTACTACTGGCAATGGCAAACATCTTAACAACATATTAGCTTGCTCCTTCCCTAAAACTGGAGGCAGAGGCAAGACCAAATTGGGTCGCTCTCTAGCTACCTGATACTATGTATTTCAACAGTGTTAAGCTTTTTATTTAAGTATTCGAGGGATTTCATTTATTGGGAGGTGGGTGGAGGTACTCTCTCCTTTTGGCAAGATTGTTGGTCTCATGCTTTGTTGAACATGAGGGATTTGCGGTTTCCTAATCTCAACGTCTCCGATGTTTGGGTTGATGGTCATTGGAATCTTCCTCTTCTTACTAGCATATTGGGTTTGGAGAGAGCTAATTTTATTTCTACGATACCTTTTGATCCTCTCTTGCATGACACTCATTTGAAATTGCCTATGGCGAATTCTATTACTAAATCCTTATATGTTGCTCGCCATAACTTTCAAAACACCTCTTGGGGAGAAGGGGTATGGAGTTGGGCCTTAAACCCGTTTATGTCCTTCTTAGCCTGGCGGATATTTCACTCGATTATTCTTTCTGATAACATTCTTAAAATGAAAGGTTTGAGAATTGCTTCCAGGTGTTGTTTCTGTTTCATGGCGAAGGAGTCAATTGAACATATATTTTTTTCGGGCCCCTATGCTTTATTTATTTGGGAAAAGGCTGTAACGTGGTTTGGCACTTGTCTATCCCCTGAGAATAATCTTTCTCTCACCACCTTGAGTTGCAACCCGAATGGTAAGAAAAAACACTTCTAGCAAATATATTCTTATATCATTTGTTGGTTTATCTGGATGGCTAGGAATGATGTAAGTGAAGAGGGCAAGGAGATTCATAAAATGATGGTTTTCACTAACATCATTTCTTACATTAATAAGCTATGGAGGCTTGGTAATTCCAAACAAGGTTTCTTCTCAGGTATTAATTATTTCCTGGCATTGGGGAATATGAATGTGGCTGTTAGAAGAGTCTCGCGTCCTCCTATTTTGGTCAATTGGACTCCACCCCCTAGAGGTTGGATTAAATTTAACATTGATGGGAGTTGGA